ACCTCATCAGCTGATTTTATATATATATATATATATATATATATATATATATATATATATATATATATATATTTACATAACGGAACTTTATCGCAAATGACTAATAAAAAGTAATTTCAAAAAAAGTTAGTTGGGAGGGGGGTGCGTTAAAAAAATACTATATTATATAAAAGTATATTTTATTATATTTTTTCCGATTTTTCAACTATATAAGATGCAAACAATATATATTAGTTATTTAATTATATATTAACAATATGTATAAATTATAGAAAGTTACAGTATATGTAGATCACTATTGACATTCAATTCAATTTGGAAAGGTAATGGATTATTAGGATATCTGGAATATATTAAGAATAATACTAATAAATAAAGTTAAAAATATACCATTCCGTCAGGTACTGCTGAAAGCCTTATGGCATCTGGTTGTCTGAATTAGATCAGGTAATAGAAAACAGACAGGTCAAAAGGGACCAGAGTGTTATAAAGGTAGTTATTTGTTGCCGAAAAAGTGTGAGTGAGATACGAAAAGGCTATTATAGCTAAAGTTATTGAAGTGGTAATATGATCACAGAGAGAACTTTGTTCAATTAGAAAACCAAGCAACCAAACAAAACCTGTCCCTCATCTATTCTCAAATCCTTAACCTATTAAAACAACAATAATTTATTAATGGCCGTTTCCTGCTTCCTTCATATTTCCTTCCTCACTTCTTCCTATACAATCTTTATAAATAAATAAATATATATATATATATATATATATATATATATATATATATATATATATATATATATATATATATATAGAGAGAGAGAGAGAGAGAGAGAGAGAGAGAGAGAGAGTGTGTGTGTGAGATAGAACTCCTTATACATTCACCTTAAAAACAGGACCTCTTTCACTGATTTCCAATTCCCACCCTAGCTCACATTTACAAATACTTCTTAATACCCACCTTCTTCAGATGTATTTGATAATTATAATTTAACCAATTACTTACAGCAACGCACGCAACTACCACTTCAATAACTTTAGCTATAATAGCCCTTTCTTATCTCATTCACACTTTTGGCAACAGACAAACAACTAATTGTACAACCTCTTGGTTTCTTTCTACCTGTCTGTTTTCTGTTACCTGACATACATCAGACAGCCAGACGCTGTAGGGCCTTCAACAGTACCTGACGGAATGGTATGTTTATAACTTTTTTTATTATTATTTTTCTTAATATACCTACTACCTAATACCCTTAATATACATACTCCAGATATCTTAATAATCCATTACCTTTTCAAATTGAACTGAATGTCAATAGTGATCTATATATACTGTAATTTTCTATAATTCGTATATGTTGTTTGTATCTTATATAGCCGCGAAGAAGACCTACAATGTAGGTCAAAACATCAGAAAAAATGTAATATTATATAATGATGTAGAGTTGGTTGACCGTTGAGATGATATGAGAAGGAATTAGTCGAGGGTGCGGTCAAAAAAAAAATAAAAAAAATTAAAATATATAAATAATTTTAATTTTTGCCGACGTTTCGACCCACTTTGCAGGTCGTCTTCAGGGCTACAAAAGATACAAACATGTTGAAAAAATAAAAATAAAATAAAAAATAAATATAAGTACTTATATTTATTTTTTATTTTATTTTTATTTTTTCAACATGTTTGTATCTTTTGTAGCCCTGAAGACGACCTGCAAAGTGGGTCGAAACGTCGGCAAAAATTAAAATTATTTATATATTTTAATTTTTTTTATTTTTTTTTTTGACCGCACCCTCGACTAATTCCTTCTCGTAATATTATATAGTATTTTTTTACTGCACTCTCCCGACTAACTTCTTCTGAAATTAGAATCCACGGTCAACCATCTCCATACCATTATGACCAAACTAAAATTTTCATTTTTAAAATTAAACGTGTTAATGATAAAACTGAAATTTGCCATTATCTTATGAATATGGTTTCTGTAGTGTTCTTCTTACTTAATCTAAGAAAGAACACACTTTAACAATTCAGAAATTTTAGAAAATATTCTTTTATTGTGTTGCAATAAGTGATGATCATTTTATCACTGAGAATTAATTAATATTTTGGTTAGACAGTTTTTAAACATAACTAAAATTGTTCTAAAATTAGGTGTTAAAATATCTCAGAAGGGACATACTTTTAAAATCTGATTTTTTTTATAATGTCCTTTTATTATGTTTTAAAAGTGGTTAAAATTTCTTCACTGACAAGAGGAAGGTGCAGTCAATGTGTCACTGATTTTATTCAATTTTCTGTTGGTGATTCTACATCCACAAATATTGGACGTATACCTCAGAATTCCTTCTGACTGGTCCTAAGAGTTAAGGAAAAATATATATGTTTTAAACATTAAGTTTATTTTAATAAATTTTTATTTCTATAATTTTGTAAACAAATCTTAAGCACATATTTTTTTTGTGAAGGATAAGAAAAAATGCTCAAAAGTCTTTACTGAGTTTATGTTACTGAAAAAACAGCAAAAAAATGTACTTGCTACAAGGAAAGTTGGTCTATGATTTTTTGAAAGTATAAAATAAGTTAATATATTTTCTTTTTAATCATTAAAAAAAATCTTTATAGATACCAGTTTTTAGGAACATCAAAAAATAAACTTTTTGCAGCTCTAAATTTTCTATATTATAAAACTTAGCTGATCAACTTTAAATTTGTACTCTACTAAAAGGTTGTGACATTAATTTACACCAAATGGTGCCTATCGGCCTTTTTAGATCAATATTAAAGTACAAGCAAATATGTTTATAACTGTCTTTTTACTGATTATTAATCTGTACTTTATTATCACTAAAAAGAGGAAAAACTCTGTTTTCCAATGATACCTAATTATTTGAATACGTTCAAAGTATTTGCTTATAATAAAGATTTTAATTTGATCAGATAAACAGAATGAGATTTAATTTTACATATTGAAGGAGCATGGGCTATTTGCTTACGAAAGTATTAGAATTATTAACCACAAAACTAGATCATTTAACGAATATAATCAACAATACCATATGTTTTCCAGTATAGGCTATACTCAAAAAGCTATTTATGTTTTGCTAGAAAACTTGGTCACTTTTTCCTGAACTAATAGCCCCTGTTCTTTTAAATGTAAAATTTATTTGCTTGAGGAATTTTTCACCATTTGGTGTTTATTAATATCAAGTTCTTTTTGTACTATAAAAGTTTTTAGTTAATTGATTGAGTTTCCTATGAGCTACAAAAGATTTCCATGATAGCTGGAAAACATTGCAAGAAAATTTTGGGTTAAACCAAAAAATTTGTTTGTTATTTTTTTCTTGTTATGTTACTCTATACTTAAAAAAATTATTGATCTACTTTCCTTGTATCAAGTAGATGATTTTTTTTTTATTATTATTTTGTTCACTATCTTAAGCTCATTAATGTCTTTTGAGCATTTTTTGTCTTATCCTATGTGAAGAAATAAAACAAAAAGACATATTTAAGTTTTTTTTTTGTAGATGGGGAATCATACAAATAAAACTTATGAAAAAAAAAAAATCATTTTTACATCTTATAAATATTTTTTCTTGACTTCTAAGGACCATTTGAAGAAATTCTGGAACATACGTCCAATATTTTTGGATGTAGAATCGCCATAACATATTTGTTTAAAATCAGTGACACACTCTGATCTCCCCTTGTCAGTGATGAACTTATAACCACTCTTGCAACATAATTGAAGAATGTTTTCTAAAAAAAAATGGATTTTATAAGGGTGTACTTTCTGAGATATTTCAAATTTCTTATTAATTTGATGTATATTTAAAACATTTCTAACCGAAATACTAATAATGTCTCAGTGATAAAATGATTACCACTTATTGCAACACAATAAGATAATGTTTTATAAAAGTTTTGGATATTTAAAGTGTATCCTTCCTCAGGGTAAGTAGTATTGGCACTATATCCATAAAATTATTTATGCTGAGTCTTACTTTTATCATTAACTTTTTAATTTCAAAAGAAAAGGTTTTAGTCTGACATTGACTGGCTATTTCCTGTCAATTACAATTAAGTTCCGAAATATATACTGGACAGAAAATATTGTACATTTCATGCTCTCTCGATTTTTATTTTAACCGAATACCATCAAAGACTTTGTTGGAAACAAAGGAACTACTGATTTATAACAAACTTTTGTAAAATGTAAGATGAATGACGCACCAAAATAAGAAATGAAGCCTAAAAAAACAAAAAAAACAAGAAGTGCATCTAAAAAATTAATGAATGCCTGTTTTCAGCTCTGTGAATTACAAAGATAAAAAAATAAATAGATTTTGTTCTCCAACATTTTTAAATTAAATTGCTTGATTTGAAGTGGATTATTGCAGGCTAGTACAGAAAGGCAGTTTTCTCAAGATTCATGTTAACTGTTTACCACCGTAACAGATTAAGCATTTATCGAAAATTATGTGATTACTCCTATTATTGGCTTCTGTTTCATTATTCCCTATTTCATCACCATAACCTGAGTTGAAATCTGCCTTTAAATCTAAAATGGTGATATTACTGTAACTGCTTTTAAACGTTTGGTCAGAGGGAGTTGTTTTGTCCCTTCTTCTCATAAAATGACAGACTAATACTTATTAATTTGCTGTCTAACAAACTGAAAATTTCAGAATTACGAGCCTTATAGTTTTTCCCTGTAATAGCAGCATGTATGTGACTGTCTGAAATAAAACTTCTACTACGAGGTTTAAAAACTTTTAATTGGAGGGGAAATATTAAATGTATAATTATCTGATCAATTTGTGTGATGCGCCCTTTAACCATTTTTAATAAATTATCTCATTCTATTATTAAGAATGTTCGAATTAGATTAAATAAAATGAATCTTTTAGGTATGTTATTTATAATTCGATCAAATGTTTACAGATTATTTTGAGCATTTTTAACTTATTTTGAAGATTTTTGAGGTGGATAAAGAAATTAAAAAATTTCTTTATGATTTTCAAAATATCTTAACATGCTGCAATTGTATTCAATTAAATCTTGTTCTTTTTTTTTTTATCTTCAAATTTTTTTAATAAGTTTAAATGCACTTTTTAAAAAACTGAAATTATCATCAATTAGGTTTATATTATCGTTAATATATTTATTATATTTATAATATGTCTTCTTTATTTCAGAGACCATCACTTCTACTGCTCTTCTTTCCGCTTCTCTTCTCCTCGCATTCCTCTACAGCAAACATAACACAAAGCTTTCTAATACACCTTTTACACCTTACTCATTTGTTTTGTCTGTAGTGTTTGAGTTTATTTATTTATATGTTAAATGAAAAGTTTTTTTTCAGGTTTTTACCTGTAGTGAAAATTGTTCTAATATATTTTTTTCTTATTTTATGTAGGAATTATGGGAACAGTTGAATACAGAAAACCCGAATGGGTGACTCATATGGAAGACATGCAGGCCAAACTAAGAGGTAATAGCACTATTTCTATTGACTCGCTTGATGAGCATGATTCTTGTCGTGGTGGATTGACAAGTTCATCGAATTGGGAATCTGTTGCTGACTTGAGTGAATCTGTATTTGCCTCTGCTGAAGGTAGCTTTTACCTCTTACCAGCTATCGAGGAACAAAGTGAGGAAGCATCTAGTGAATCATCACGGTCGGTAGGTCGCTCAAGATCGCTGCACAATGTATCAGCTGGTTTGGAACACCTGGATGTAAGGCGTAGAACATTCCCTAGGTCAAAGGTTGAGGCCAAGTATAAGGATCTTGGCTATCCATTGGAGCCTCGTGAGCTTGATCCAGAAGCCTTTGACCAGCTCCATACAGCTGACTCTTCAGAGGAACTTCAGGAATTTTTGCTCCTTGAGAGCCAGTGCATGTCACAGGAAACTGGCTTAGCTGCCGCTTTCCTCTCATCAGGTATATACTAACATACTAATCGTACATATATTTTCCACCCTTATGCTTCAAGAGAAGATCCAGAATTGAGAGTTGACTATGTGAAATTATTATGTTTTAGTTAAAATACTCAGCTTTCCATTTTGGTTTATTCTTGTAGTTCAGAAGTTTTGTAATCCACAACCTTTATTTTTAAAATCCGTTATAACGTAATCAATTTTTGTATAAAAAATGAATAAATAAATAAAACAAATCTTTTAACCATTAGTGAATTCTAAAATATATCCCAAACTAATTCTTTTTTTTTGTATGATTTTTGTTTGCTCCGTATGACTTACTTTTTATTTAATTTTTTTTTCGTTTTTGGTAACTAACCAATTGTGTGAATTTCTGTTATTAACAGACGAGTGATGAAAGAAACCATTGCCTCAAACTTTTCTAGTCACTTTAGAATATAGGTAAGTACACTTTTACAAATAATTATTTATGCAATTATATGTTGTTTGAAGTGGTTCAATAGTATTTAGTGTTATTTATTTTTAGAGGATACTTTAAATTTATAGCATGCATTAATATTTAATTAATTTAACGATAGGTATCTATCAAATTTGTGATTCAAAAAATATGCAAATAATGCAGTTATTGTACAAAATAAAAATGATTTTGTTCAGGAAAATAAAATTATCCCATAGTGCTATATATTAATTTCCTTTTTACTGAATAAGATATTTATCATTTATCAATATAATTATTATATTTGTTTATCTTTATTAATAGGTATAATAAATAATTATTAAAATCTAGTGCACACAACACACAATTTTGTAAAGTTTACTACAATGAAATTACGAGATTTTCATTGCTTGCCATAGAAAGTTCAAAAGTTGTCACACTAATTATAAGTGGATAATGTTGGAATTTCACATAAAAAAATCCATAAAATTATTCACTAATTTAATTTTCTAAAAGGTTTCTTAATGATTTTTTAATAAACGGCCAATAGATACCTAATTATTTATATATGATATCATATCTAGAGTTATTAAACTACAGTAAATGTATTTAAGGTTATAAACATATCCACGAAATATTTTTATATTTGATTTCTTTCACACAAGTACAATGAAGTAATATTTTAGACAATGTCATTGCCTTATTCGGTGGATTTTAAATACTTTTTTTTCAAACTTAAAAAAAAAATTTAAAAGTTTATATTTAGTAAGAAAATTTCATTTCATTTCCTTGGAAACATGTAATTTACGTTAAATAATGTTAGTTTTCAGAAATTATTATTAATATTTTTTTCCCACTCTCCGTTACCTTCCATAACTATTTATTTGATATTATTTTTTCTAAAATTCTCCACTTTCCAACATTATACTTCAATCTTCAGACTATTATTTCCAGAGATTCATTTTTGATCTGGATCTACATTTTTCATTATTCAATTATCAAATTCTTTCAAAAGTTGTATTTAGAATTTTTTCGTAACTCTTAATAATGAGAGACAGTTAATTATTTAAAATAAGCCAAATTAAAGGTACTTTAGAGGAAGATGTATATGAACATTGGGAATTTTGCTCAGTAAAGTGACATCAATGGGTATAAGACCTGAATGATATAAAGACCAGTTAGTTATACAATGATACACAGAGTTTAATCAAAATCGTTTTTGAGAAACTCATAAAAATGTGTATCACCATTGATATAAAGTGGCACTTCTGAGTAGCCGATTTTAAGATAAAAGTTGTTCTAATGTTTCAGTCATATACCTATCTTAAATACATAATATCAGTTTGGTATGAATTTGTTTTTTAGCTACACACATACATACACACACACACACTGAACATTTTGGGGGACTTGGTTATATGGACTGTATTTCCGTTGAAAACACAGATTCGAAAATTTTCAGTCACAATACTTTCCCTTACTATTACATATGTAGGTAAGTGAAAGTAATAATAGATAAAAATCAAATAAGTCAAAATGCTAACATATGTTATTTTTTCAGTAATTTTTAAGGATATTAATTAAAAATAACCAAATTTTTCCAGTCATAATAACCATTAAGGGATAAGTTTCCTTATTTTATGTATTCATATGTTAATGTTTATATAGAATAATTGATATACAATGTTTTCAGAACAACAAGCTGTGCCCACTTTTATACGAGAAATAACTGACGAGTATGTTAATGAAGAAGAGACTGTGACTTTTATCAGTCAATATGCTGGAAATCCACAACCAGGTATTGTAACCATTTTAATTCCCATTTCATGATATTGACAAAATTCAGAGAACATATCTTATACTTGTCATTAACTGAGATTATCTTAGCTATTAACAATATATTATCTTGTTAACTAACCAGTTGCCACTCTCCTTTGGTCGCTTGAGAACTGAATGCAGCATAGCTATAGTTAATGGTTTAGATACTGCCACATTTTTCCTACAACAGCTTCCTAACAAAAAAAGAAGAAAAGAAGTGCAAACATTTTTCTTATTTCTTACCAATCTTGTTATCGATCAGTAGAACACTCATTATTATTATTATTTTGATAATTTGTTTGTGTTGCATCTGATCATTTTGTTTTGTTTCGAAAAGTAAAACAAATACATTCATTATACTCTACGAGTCTTTTCATGTCATACTTCTCTGTTCAGATTCACTTGTATTTTTATTTTAAAATAGATGTAAATGTCATAAATAATATATATATATATATAATAAATTTACTCATCATCAGTTATTATTTGTTTGTTAATAAACTTGTTTCAATAAAGGAACTATTAAAATAGTTCATAATCAAATCTTACATTTATTTTATTTTAAGCTTTGTTCATAGCAGACCTGGAGAGTATTTTGAATAAAATACCAAGCAAAATATTTTTTTTAATATTTTACATTTTAAGAAGTAAAATATACAATACATTGCTTTAACTGTATTTTCTTTTAAAAAAAAAAAAATTTTTATTTTCTATTGTGATTACCTTATTGAGTATTTTTCTTTAGGGTATATCCTACATAATAGAATTAAATAATAATAGAAGTATTTTTTTTTTTGTAGCTGATTTAAATACTTGATAATTATATATTTTTTATTTTAAAAACACAAAATACTTGGTATTTTATTTAAATAATGGATTTTAACAATTAGAATAATTTGTGCTCAGGTTTAGTGCATAAGTATTGACTTTTTCTATTTAATTCTCTTCTGTCTTTTCCAGTTATCATATGGTATCATGATGACAAACTGTTGAGAGCTACTGAAAATATTAAGATAACAATTAAAGATAATGTATCAACTGTTACCATTAAAAGAGTTACAAATGAAGATGCTGGTATTTATATTTGCAAAGCAACTTCTGACATTGGTATTGCAGTTACCAAAGCCAAACTTACTATTGTTGGTAAGACCATTTTATTGACGACTGCAAAATTATTTAAAATGAATCAAAATTCACTTTCTTTCTATTTTTTTTTAAGGTGGCCCTTCTTTACAAGAAAGGAGTGCTGAAGAAACTGAAGAAAAAGTTGTTACAGAGGTAATAGAAGAGAAAAAAGAAAGGAAGAAAAAGAAGAAGAAACCTGTTGTAACCCATGAAGACAAACCAAGGTATTTTCAATGCTATCTCTATTTAATTATTTTTTTCTAAAATTAATACTAATTGTTTTGTTTCTTTTCTTAAATTTTTTTAGGTTCTTTTTATCAAATTTATCAAATTAGATTCATACTGGTATAATCATTATATTCTAAACAATCTGCTAAATAGTCTTCATTAAGGTGACAATCTTGTCATACATAAGCTGTTATTAAATCTGAAAATATAAATTATTATTTTTTATTTCTTCTCCACAATTTTCTCGACAGGTCAAAACAAATTTAATGGAAAAAGCCCAAGATTACTATTTAGAATAAAATTATAAATTATAACTCTAAAAAATAATTTTAATTTTTTTATTTAACACCTCTGCCGTTGGCTATTAGGTCATTCGGCTCCTGGCAACCCAATATAATTCCGCTATAACTGAACTCTGGACATTCATACATTTGTAAGTGAAGTAAAAGCTTCTCTAACGGTAACCCTCTCCACCTTACCCATTATACAATATTTAAATGTCCCTTCCAGGAAATATAATAATTTAGGTCCAGGCAACAGATATCCCTCTATAGACATGGATAGCCAATTTTTAGTGCTTTAATCTTGGTTGTTCTTTCAACTTTGAATATTGAAATGAAAGAATGATACCATGTAAATTTTTTACAATAAAAGAATAAGTTGGGGTAATAAGTTATAAAAATAAATAAGTTTTGTTCTATGGAAGTTGCTGAGAAATGTAAAATTGTATTAATAAACTTCTTTCTTCAAAGTGAAAAAACTTTTTTTTTTATACATGCATGTATGTATTCATTATTTTATAAGCACTTGTATATATACTCAGTGTACATCCCTCTAATAATAATAATAATAAGGCTTAGCGAACCCGAAGGTTCGATGCCGACACCACCAATCGCTTGTTACACACCTCCCTCCACCGTTCGCCGTCCAAACCCAGTCCCTTCAGATCAGCTTTAATGCAATCTTCCCACCTTCCCTTCAGTCTACCCGTCGGACGCTTACCATTCGGCACAGCAAATATTAACCTTTTAGGAATTCTCTCGTCACTAAGCCCAACAACTTTACAAGCCCATTTGATTCGCCGCGATGAAATTACCTCAATTATATTACCCGGATACAGCTCACGCAATTCGGTGTTGTGTAACCGTCTGAACTCTCCGGTTAACTCATCCTTCTTCGGTCCGAATATTCTACGCAATACTTTATTTTCAAAAACCTTAAGACGCTGCTCATCCCTTAATGTAAGCGGCCAAGTTTCGCATCCATAAAGAACTGTAGGCAAGATAATTGTTTTATAGATTCTAATTTTTAAGTTCTGGGACAAGAGGCGCGAACTAAGTAGTTTTGTCACAGAAAAATAACAAGCATTTCCCGCCTTCAGTCTAACCTTAATCTCTTCTTCAATTTCGTTTTTTCTAGTTATCGTAAGTGTACATCCCTCTGCTATGGAAAAATCATTTTGAGTTGTTCTTGGTGCTTGGGTTTCACTATACATTTATACATGTGATGTATGGATCATATGTTTCTATTCCCATTGTAATAATTTAAAACAGAGTAGCAATTATCTCATCTCACAATTAGACATCTCATCAGCTCCCTTCCTTACTTTCCTCTACTTTACCTCAATAACCATCCCATCCATTTTTTCCCTACAGTCAAAAACCTAGGAGTAACCTTTGACCAGAACCTCTCCTGGGATAATCATATCTCCCAGATTACCCGAAAATCCATAACTGCCCTTAAACAACTCCTAAGATTCCGTGATTGTATTCCTCTAAAAACCAGACAGCTCCTTGTAATCTCCCTTGTATTCCCCCACTTCGACTACGGCTGCTTGGTGTATGGAGGGCTATCTGCCAGGCTGGAAATGAGACTAAAAAGACTCATGAATTGTTTCATAAGATACATTTTCGGGATCCCCAGGCGTTCACATGTTTCATTCTGGTACACCGAGTTGAAGTGGTTTTTTCCTACTTCCCGACGACAATTCCTTCTTGGCGTTTTCCTTTTCCAAGTCTTCAGAACCAAAAACCCTCCCTACATCCTGGAACTCCTTACTCTGTGCTCCTCTATCCACTCTCTCAATACTAGGTCTCAACCTATAGACTTATATATTCCCTCCCATAAAACTTCCTCCTTCAGCAAATCCTTCGTCATTCGTGCTGCCTCCTTATGGAACTCACTTCCTACCTCCATGCATCAATCCTCATCCACAAATTCCTTCAAACAACTCCTGTTCCAACACCTACTCCACATTCAAACTTCCCCTAACATGTAAAATTACTTGCATCTATACAATGTTTAATTTCAATCCATTGCACTATTGAAATAACAATTAACAATAAATTAGTTGGTATTTTTACTATGTCAGACTAAGATACATAAATTTGTAACTCTGTTATTATTCTTAGGGGACAGGAATAAAATTATTTTTTCATTTCATTCATTTCATTTTCAATTATTTATATTCTTGGTAACAGCATAAGCCTGACTGAAAGTTCATAATAAAATTAGTTATATTGTTTATAAAGATTTTATATATCAATGATATATTGTTTGTTACAGAGACTCAGTTGATGTGAGTGAAATTCAACCGTTAGAGAGTGTCACTACTTTCTCTGAAACATTAGAAATGGTATGTTAATTGGTTTTAGAATTATTAAATCTTCTTTCTCAACTTTTATACTTATTCATTATCAAATTTTACTATACTACAATGGTTTTAAATAGTTTTATATATGTTGCCTTCAATCAATAGCTAACAAAATTTTTCTTATAATTTCAAATAATAATTGTCACTATTTTATGATCAGGCCACTGCTAAAAAAAGAGTCGATGTTCAAGAGTCAGTTGAAGTAACTGCTGTAGCATCATGCAAAAAAGTCCCAGATGACAAAGAATTTCCCACCGATGTTCCTGATGTTGCGGGCATTGTGGCTCCAATACAAGAATCAGTTACTGTCTCAGAAACCACCAGTGCTGAGACTACTGGAGAATTTTTCTCTGAGACTAGGCAAGAGGAGTTTGCAAACATTCAAACAAGGACTACTCTGAAAAAGGCTAAAGTTCAAAAGACAACAACTCAGGTAAGTAAAGCTGGCAGTAGACATATAATAATTTTTTTTATAAATAGCTAAATAATTATTAATCCAACATAAAACATTTGCATTGTCAAAATTTGTTCTACCATATATATATACAGTATATCAGCAGTGAAATAATTGTAGGTTCGTGAAACTGAAGAAAAGATTGAGATGGCAATAACTGAGGACATGCTTCCATGGCAAGCACCTCTTCAGGAATTAGCTCAAGTTGATGTACTACTTCGTAAAGGAGTCACAGTGCAAGAGGTATGATGATGTAATTTTATTTGACGTTTTTGATTGAGATCTAGATATTCTTCGTTTATTTAGTTCATAAGTTTCTTAATAATTTGAAAGAAAATTAATCTATAACGGTTTCTATTTAAAAAATTATAGTTTTTCATTATTTTCAGACATCTTTGTTTAGTTCAAAAGAAAAAAAAAAATATGCAAATTACTACACAATGGTTTATTTTTTTCTAAATATGTAATCCTAACAATGAAATAATTATGATTAGTTATTTCATTTTTTTTTTTTAAATTTACTTTGATAAAATGAAACCCAACCACTTTATATTTACCCCCTACCTTCAAGAATGGCTAAGATATGGGCAATGAAGCATCTAATTGGCTGCCTTATATTTCGGAAATCAGGGGATAGGAATATCAAGTTCCAAGGATCATCCTAGGATATACACTTTTTAATAATCTCAGACGTAACTTACCCACAAGAAGGAATGGTTATTTTTTTTTATATTGAACTATGCAGATATGTGATTATATGAACGATACTTATGTGATTAATGTAATGAGGATGTTATGAAACTTTTTCTATACTATGGAAAATAAAAATGATTTCTTTTGTTTGAACATTTAGTAATTGATGATTTGATTGTTGCAGGTCGTAACACTATATGAAGCTTGGCAATTCCCAGCCCTGAGAACAGCACCAGCCCAAAGTGCTCTTGTGTCCCTTGTAGAGCGTCAGGGCCACTCTTCTCTCATAACAGAAATGGTGACGCATGAGTCAGTGGACCAGACACTTGCTGGAGTATTCAAAGCATTTCTCACTATGGCGGAAAGAAAAGCAGCCTCAGTATCCGAGATCATACCACTCTTCAAACCTGCTGATTTCCAGATTGCTCCTTGGGAGACAACAGCAACAATGCCGGTTTGTTATTAAACAGCATTTAAGTTTATGATTGTGTAGATATTGTTGTTATACATAAAATAAAATAGCTGGTAGAGACTCATCCTAAATAAATAATATATTCTTTCTTAAAAAAATATATTTTATTTTTTTTAATGAATTGATGGTTTATATTTGCTGAAAATAAAAGTAATTCTAATAAAGCTAGGATAGTAATTAGAGTGGTTGTATTTGTTAAATTACTGATGAAATGTTTTATATTTTCATATTATTATTCAAATTAGGAATTGTCTTTATGCATATTTAATAGAAAAATGTATAATTATATATATAAAACATTTATATAGTATCTAAATGAACTGGTACGTATAAAACTTATGGCCAATTTGGACTCTTTTGAGATGTTCAATGTTCGGTAAGAAAACAAAGATAGAAAATACGAGTTGTTGTTGACTTATGTTGTAGCAATAAAATTAATTTATTTTTTATCTTAAAGGTAACCATAGAAAACTATCTCATTTAACAAAGTGATTTCATTGTTAATCTCAGTTCAACTTATTAAAACTATCCTTTTAATTTAAAACTTTAGATTTCATATTAGGAGTGAAGAGCTTCTATCACCTACATTCCAAACAAAACAGTTATAATGAATTCTGGGAAACTGGAGTCATGTCTACTAATTCTAATTGCTTGAAGTGTAGTATTGTCATTAAGATTTAACTTTTGTAAAAGTGTACATGGGCTCATTGATGTTAATTTCATACTAAGAGTAAAACAATATTATTAATGTAAATTTATTTTTCATTTATATTTTAAATATTAATTTACATTGTTCAAGCAGGTATTGACGGAAGAAACAGCAACAGAAACTGTCAGCAAAACAAGCAAAGTTGAAATCAAAGGTACATATACCTCCTCCACTCGCTTTACATCTTAACTATGCAGCATGTAGTAAATTCCAAACTCTAGTCAAAATAAGCTCTCCAATTTTAAATTTTTTAAAAGTTGTTATTGTTATATTGTTTTTAATTGTGTGATTTTATTTGCATGCTTGTAATTGTAAAGTTGATCAAGGTTTTTTTTTTTTTTATTATTATTGTTACTATAGCAAGTATCAATTTAATTAATGCTTATATTTATTTTTTTAATGATTTGTTATTAGCTTAATTAATTAATCGATCATCAGATTTTACCATTGTATATTTTTATTTTCATTAATAAATTTTTTTTTGTATTTTTGTTTTTATTTATTTACTTTATTTTCTAATCTGTGTGTATTTATGATCCTTTGGTTACCTATTTAATTGTAACCAGATGTATAATAATAAATATTAGTTTTGAGAATGATATTAATAAAACAAGAATATATCAAATAAGAACATATAAATTAATAATATGATTTATTGGCTCCAAAAGACTTGTACCAACATTCTTTCTATTTCTCTCATTATCAAAAATTGTAATTTGAGAAATATTATTATTTTTTCTTTAAATTACTAATTTCATAGATATTTAGCCATTTTTTCTTGACCCAAATAAATGAAAAGACAAATCTGTTACATTATATATATATATATATATATATATATATATATATATATAAAACACACACAAATATATATATATATATATATATATATATATATAATATATATATATATATATATATATATATATATATATATATATATATATATATATATGTGTGTGTGTGTGTGTTTATATAAATCTATATACAAACACATATAGTAATTTTAGTCTTCTAGTGATGTCTCCTACGTGTTTTGTCCATCTCCTATGTTTCTTGAATGTCTGTGTAGAAATTGCTTGAGACCTTAACATGATTGTTGTCTCATGTGAGACCTGAGATTATATTCTTTTTAAAACTACTATTAGCACGTAATACAACTAAAACATTCCTTCTAAGAATATTTGTCTGCATATTCCAAGTTTGAGAGAGAAGAGAAAAATGTTTGCATATTGATTATATTTAAAAATAATCAATGGTATTGATGAATAGATAAATTGCTAGTTTATTCATTCTTGTTTTATTATTTCACTTAAACTGACATTCCTTATGATACAATCAAATGTTTTATGACGAATAATTGAACAAATGAAATTTTAACAAACCCAATTTTAAAAATTTAGTATTTTTTTATTTTAAGATATAATATAGTCAGTTAGGAATTATTTTTATATTTGGCGATATCTTAACCATTTTTTGCTTTTGTTAACCTTTCAAAAAGCATGTATTTTAAATACCGAATTATGTTTGTTTTAATAATTTTTTGGCTTAAATATGATCCCGTCTAATAAAAATTTATCATTTATATATTATGTCTTATATTGGAATACTTTTATGAGACATAATCAGAGTTTAACAAATTATTCAAGAATAATTTGGATAATTTCGACAATAATTATCACTTTTTCATATCATGAATAATTAATCATACAAATAAGTAAACATATTAGGATTTTTCTGTAATTTGTAATGATAGGCTTGTAATCTTTTCTTTTTTTTTTTATTTATTTAGAAATATAATAATCGGTCACATGGACAATAATTATAGTGAGATATGAACACATTCACATCGTATATACAGAAAACATAAAATTAACTAAAGTAAAATACTAATCAAAAACTATGTACAATAAAAAAAATAAAATAACCTAAAGATAAGTAAATTAAAAAGCATAAAAACACAGTTATACCTATATACAATATATACAATTAGGCAGGGAACCCCAAGCCAGGCTTCTCCCTACAACTATAGAAAGAAAAGCAGGACTCCAAGAGATCCCTGTGCTACTCTCTCAACTGTGTCCCTGGTGCTAAAGCCAGTGGAGTTTGAGTGAGAGTGCTTTAGCCACATACACTCATGTCTTGAATGGAGAATCTGGCCATTGCCAGAACTTCAAGATATATACTACAAAAGATCTTTGGGACACTGCCACTTCAATCTTCGGGGAGGATTGTAGGAATGAGTGGAACTAGATAGGGATTGTGCTAGGGGATTTGGATGATTTATGGTTCTGATGGAATTTCGAAAAATGTTTAGGCATAAGGTAAAGGACAAATGGGATATTAAGGTCACAATGTAGGATTTTGTTGGTTACATAGAACAGAGCATCGACTATTGTTCGGAGGACTTTGGACTGAAAGGATTGGATGCGTTTGATGTTAGAAAATTTTGCTGTTCCCCAAAGTTCAAGTCCGTAGGTCCAAAGAGGTTTCAGGATTGTCTTGTGGATCAGTAATTTCTTGTCAATTGAAAGTTGAGATTTTCTATTCAGTAGTCTGTATAATTGGCCGTATCATCTGTTAAGTTCTTGTCTTTTAAGTCTAGTATGTGGGTTGCACGTTAGTCTTCAGTCTAAGAGAAAGCCAAGATACCGGACCGTGTCTGAAAAAGGAAGCTGGATGATCTGCGCCAGAACGTGAAGGTAATGTGTTTGCATTTGGATTCGTTTACTTTGACGCGCCATTTATTGCACCATGGCTCAATCAGGGAGAGGTGTCTTTGCAGATTTAAAGATGCTATTTCGGGATCTGAGTTGGATGATAGGATGGCGGTGTCATCAGCAAATGTTGCCAGAAAGGTATCGGGATGGACAGGGATATCAGCAGTAAAAAGGATATCAAGTACAGGGCCCAAGATGTTACCTTTAGGAACACCAAGGCTTGTAATTAAATTTATTATTGGTCCCTTATTTTATTTGACATATTTAATTATTGAATGATGTAATAATCAAGTAGAAGATGGTCTAGGCAGCATTTAAGAATAAAGTTTTTTGTATTTAGTCTGGGAGCCCATGGCAAAAAAGTTGGATTATTTCATATTAAGGTTTAATTATCCTTATAAATTGATCATATTCACAGACCTAATGAGAAAAATGCACTTCTGCCAGCATACTGTTGCTGGAATACAAAATGGTTGCCAGGTGAGGATAGAGATCTTATATAGTTAGAAAACTTATATATCGAGAGGGCCTACTGATATATAAAGCTACCAACCCTTTTAATTTATATTATTTACTGTCTTAAAACATGAAACAGTAGTCAATTACACCATAAACATGGATTTCAAGTTGAAAATTTGAATTTACGATTCAAAAAGATCACTTTATTCAAGAGATAATAACAACAACAACAGAAATTGGTTGTGTTAATTTGTTCGCTATATTCTATAGTTTTTGAGTTATACATCCTCATAATTAACTAACTTCGAAAGAAAATTGTTTTTGCTACACATTTTTATCATTATTTGACTCACCAACTATTTATCTTTTCATTTAAGAAAAAGTCATGAGGAAGAAAGTTTTTTGATATTAAAGTTTTTTTAAGAATGTATGTTACTTTACTGTCTTATCTTCAACCATTCAACAGATAGATCAATCATAACTTTATGTTTACACACCAAAATTATGCAGAATAACTTACTTTTCGTTATTACACAGCTCTTAATCTTTATATAAGCCAATGTTTACTCATGTGTAATAAAAATGTGTGGCAAAAACAATTATTTTTCGAAATTAGTGAATTACGAGGACAGATATCTCAGAAATTATAGAAGACTGCGAAAAAATTAATATAACTATTTATGTTGCAAATTTTGTCAGCTTTAATTTTACATAACATTATTAATGCTAGAATGCATAGTTTCACTAATATAAGCAGAAAATAAAAAAAACTGAACTTTTTGAATCGTAAATTCAAATTTTCGACTTGAAATTCACTGGTATGGGATAACTGATCATTATTTCATGTCGTACGACAGTAAATACTATAAATTTAAAGGTTTTGAGGCATTTTATATCTATAGGCCCTCTCGATATATAAGTTATCTACCTATACAACAGGGTCTTTATCTATCTTCACCTGGCCGCCATTTTGTATTCCAGCATCTATATGCTGGAAAAAGTGCATTTTTCTCAACAAGCCTGTGGACATGGCCAATTTATAAGAGTAAACCTTAGTGTAAATATATATCCTATGCTTAACTTTTGACTACCATTATTGGTAGTCT